GGCAGGAGCCAGGTACTTATCCTGGTCTCCCATGGGGTGCAGGGCCCAAGCACTTGGGCCATCCTCCACTGCACTTCCTGACCACAGCAGAGAGCTGGCCTGGAAGAGGGGCAACCAGGACAGAATCCGGCGCCCTGACCGGGACTAGAACCCGGTGTGCCGGCGTCGCAAGGCGGAGGATTAGCCTAGTGAGCCGCGGCACCGGCAAAACTCTTTACAATACCGTGACACCTGCCTGTTTCTGCTTCAGTAATTGCACCTCTGGAATAAGGGGTTGGACACTTTTGTCATTACTCTGTTTAGCGATGAAAAATAAACCAATTTTGTTCCAGAAAACAGTTTTTGTTGTTGTTGTTGTTCTGGTTCAGAAAAGCCTCCACGGGTTTATTAAAATGTCATTGCCTTTGCTTAACAACCCCAAAACTTCAGGGGGTATCAGCTGGCCTGGCCATGTTTAATGACTGCGCAGAGGACTAGGCCAAGGGGAGCTTTGATCCGACCCAACCCCGTGCTCAGAGACTCCCGGCAGCCCCTCCAGCTCAGCTGCAGTATCTGACAGTGTGCATAAGACTGCACACCTGCAGGTGTCCTGGGTCCAACAGGCCCGGCTGGCACTCTCTGGTACTCGGGAGCCATAACCCCACGTCTAGTCACAGACTGTCCTCATGTGTAAGGCATGACTTCAGGCTTCAGTGAGTACTTCCCCTGGTAAAAAGAAAAGCGAGTCTAACATAACCCAACAGCCATGGTAAAGACTGCAAAGTTGGAAGCCGGCACTGTGGCACAGTGGGTTAAAGCCTTGGCCTGAGGTGCTGGCATCCCGTATGGGCACCGGTTCTAGTCCTGGCTGCTCCTCTTCCGATCCAACTCTATACTATGGCCTGGGAAAGCAGCAGAAGATGGCCCAAGTCCTTGGGCCCTGCACCCACGTGGGAGACCCAGAAGAAGCTCCCAGCTCCTGGCTTCAGATCAACATAGCTCCAGCCATTGCAGCCATCTGTGGAGTGAACCAGCAGATGAGACCTCTCTCTCTCTCTGCCTCTGATTCTTTGTAACTCTGCCTTTCAAATAAATAGATAAATCTTTTTTTTAAAAAAAAAATTCTTTATTTGAAAGAGTTAGAGAGAGGGAGAGACAGAGACCTTTCATCCTCTGGTTCACTGCCCAAATGGCCGCAACAGCCAGAGCCGCACTGATCTGAGGCCAGGAGCCAGAGGCTTCCTCCAGGTCTCCCACGTGGGTGCAGGGGCCCAAGGACTTGGGCCATCTTCTACTGCTTTCCCAGGCCACAGCAGAGAGCTGGATCGGAAGAGGAGCAGCTGGGACTCAAACCGGCACCCATATGGGATGCCAGCACTGCAGGCGGCAGCTTTATCCACTATGCCATAGCACCAGCCCCCTCAAACATAAAGAAATTTTTTTAAAAAAAGAGAGGGCAGCAGCATGTGGCATAGCAGCCAAAGCGACCGCTTAAGACGCCAGTATCTCGTATGGGTGCCAGTTCAATTCCTGACTGCTCCACTTCTAATGTAGCTTTCTGCTAATGTGCCTGAGAAAAGCAGCAGAATATGGCCCAAGTGTCTGGGCTCCTGCTACCCGTGTGGGAGACTGGATGGAGCTCCTGGCTTCAGCTTGGCACAGCTCTGGCCATGGCAGCCATCTGGGGAGTGAACTAGCAGATGAAAGACCACTCTCTCTCTCTCTCTGGCTTTCCTTCTCTTTCTGGTCTTCCAAATAAACAAAAGAAGTCACTAAAGAAAAAAAAAAAAAAAAACAAGGAAAGAAAATGGGATTTCTATGAAATCATTATCGTGCATTTCCAGTTTCTGAAGTGCGACTCTAACAGCTTCACGGCTCTTCCCTCTGGTATTCCTGGAGCGCCTGAGGCCCGCTGGAGACACTGCTGGGTTGCAGGTGTCAGGAACACTGGTCTAAATGAGAGGAGGGCAGCTTGGGAAGCAACAGGGAGCCAATCGGGATGCGAGGATTCCCTGCAAAGCAGGCAGCCTTTGTGTGTGACCAGTGGGAGACAGGACCAAGCAGAACAAGACACTACCCACCCCATCCTGTCATCCTCTCCACTGCTGCTCTTCACCTGTTCTCGCCACGTCTCTCCCCAAGACGTCCAACGGGCGTTCCAAGCAGAGCTCCCTGCCCCTTAGCTCTGAGGCGGGCTGCCTGTCTTCCCATGGGACCCAGCTGCCTGGCATTGAGTAAGCACTCAGTGTTACTGGTTCAACTCAGGAGTTTTTCACTTTACAATGGTGGGAAAGCAAGATCTGTTCAGTGTTGACCATCTTTGGGATCCTGATGGTTGATCTTGACCTGGGCTAGTGCTGTGCTGTCCAACCCTCTCTAGGCTGTGAGTACAGCTCCCACTAAGCCCCACGGTCACCAGTGCCCACTAAGCCCCACAGTCACCAGGGCCCACTAAGCCCCAGGGTCACCAAGGGTGCAACCTGTGCTGGGCAAGGTGCGCTGCTGGCGACCTCGGGTGTTCCATACATGAAGGGTATTAAATGCATGTTGGGGGGCTGGTGGTGTGGCATAGGGGTAAAGCCGCCGCCTGCAGCATCGGCATCCCATATGGGTGCCAGTTCAAGTCCTGGCTGCTCCACTTCTGATCCAGCTCTCTACCATAGTCTGGGAAAGCAGTGGAAGATGGTGCAGGTGTTTGGGCCCCTGCACCCATGTGGGAGACCTGAAAGAAGCTCCTGGCTCCTGGCTTTGGATTGGCTCAGCTCTGGCCATTGTGGCCATTTGGGGAGTGAACCAGTAGATGGGAGACGTTCTCCCTCCCTGTCTCTCTCTGTTTCTCTGTCTCTTCCTCTGCCTCTCTGTAACTCCGACTTTCAAGTAAATAAATAAATCTTTTTAAAAAAATGGATGGTGGATTTACCATGTTTTGAGCATAACATGGGTTTACTGAAATGACCCCATCATAAATCGAGGAGCTTCCACTAGAACTCTCAGTAGGTGAACTGAATGCCAGTTGAGGGACCAGGGAAGATCATTTGCTACGAGTTGATTGCAGCACAATCAGAATGGGAAACAAAGAATAGTGAGAGCATCTCAGAGAGGGGGAGAACCTGTGCCGCTGACCAAGGGCAGGTTTGAGTGGACTTGTTTACCAATGCCATGGGAGAGGAAGGTGGTCCCAAGTCTAAGGGCATTGCAGAGAGAACAACTCACACAGCCCTGCTAACAAGGAGAGGGAGAGACAGAGAGAGAGAGGTCTTCCATCCAGTGGTTCACTCCCTAGATTGCCACAACAGCCAGAGCTGGGCCCATCTGAAGCCAGAAGCCAGGAGCTTCTTCCAGGTCTCCCACGTGGGTGCAGGGGCCCAAGGACTTGGGCCATCTTCTACTGCTTTCCCAGGCCATAGCAGAGAGCTGGATCGGAAGTGGAGCAGCTGGGACTCGAACTGGTGCCCATATGGGATGCTGGCACTGCAGGCTGCGGCTTTACCCACTATGCCACAACACTGGCCCCTGGTGTGTGGGTTTTATAAAGCTGTACACACTCAGCTATGGAGAACAACCTTTACTGTGCAGGAAAAACTAACTTTGTTGTCAAGTATGAAACGTTCATTTGAAACAACTGCTTTTAAAATGCTATATTTGAAATCTTGAATTTTTCTTCTGTACACATCTATCCTCTTATATTGCTAATGAAAGATTTGAAAAAAGTAATTAACAGTTTTTCTTTTACAGCAGTCTTGATCCGGGCCCAGCCTCCAGCCCTACCCCTTCTTTCCCCTGTGAGTCACTTCTTGCATCCGTGTGCTACACTGATCATAACTGGTGATCCAGTTCCATGTGAGAGTTAACTGACATCTCGAGTTGATTACGGTTCGCTCTTGGAGTTGATGTGCTGTGAGTTTCCATGGCCATAGACTGACAACGTGCTCCCTACTGTGAATCGTACAGAACAGTCTCAGGGCCCTAACAGCCCATGCGCTCCAACTTCTTACCTTCTATAAGCCACTTAAGTTCTCTCTACCAAAGACTTCGGGTCAAGATTGGCTCTTGCTTAAAGACTTGAGCAGCTCGTCTGGCCCCCAAAGGGCAGCTTCGGGGCTCGTCCCCTCTCTCCACAAGGGACAGCCCCTGCAGCGGGATTTTGTGGCATCCCCCTCAGTGTGCACCCCTCACTCTGAGGAGTCAGTGAGCTGATCCTCACAGAGTGGTCTCCTGGGCGCCAGCTACTGAACTGTCAGCTGCTAGCGTCTGAGTAGGGTTTGCATCCTCTGACACTCTTGCTGAAGTGTGATCACCACCGTGGCCACGCTGGGAGGCAGGGCCTTTAAGACGTTGAGTTAGGTTGTAAAGTGGGACCTGCGCCTGGCCTGGGGTGGCTGGTAGGAAGCAAGCCCCGCGTCTCTCGCTGCCTTCTGCGTGCACCTGTTCACCCTTCCAGGAACCGTTCTGCTATGTTAGGATGCAGCATGAGGCCCTCCTCCGCCTTGGGCTTCCCAGCCTTTAGAACTGTGAGTCAAACAGGGCTCTGTTGCTCAGAGATCTCCCAGCCACCAGAAAGCAGACGCTCCCGCCCTCCTGCCAACTGCTGACTGTGGTTCTTGCTCCCACCACCACCCTCCTTTTGAGAGGATAAGCTCTTGGGGGCACAGGGCCTGTTGCACACATCTTTGTGTCTTGCCTAGTATGAGGCCCAAAGCTCACAGCAAGGCCACAAGGAACCTACCAGGGTCAAAGAGCGAGAGCCCTGGGACCCCGCACAAGAAAGCCAGCCCTAAACCAACAGTAGCAGTAGCAGTAGCAGTAGCAGTGGTATTTCCTAGAGCAATCTCCCCAGGCCTCCCAAGCCCAGGGAAGGAACACAGCAGAGAGCCTCTGGCTGTGTTGTTAGAGTTGGGCTTAGCTGATCTGCAAGGCCTCGGGCAATGGCGTGGTGGGAGGTGGGGTGGGGCACAGCTCAGGTGCCTCAGGGAAGGGCATTGGGGAATGCCTGTCTTACGGAAGGGGACAAGAATCTGTACCTCGTGCAGCTTCCAGGGAAGATCTGTGCTCGCTGTGGCTAGCCTGGTGAGGCAGAAGCACCTGGCCCGGGAACAGAAGCCCAAAAGGAAGAAGTCAGACTCCCGGTCATAGAAAAAGCAGAGCAGTGGGGTGCTGTTCTGCTTCAAATCACAAGCAGGAGTGACAGGTGCCTGTACTTCCCATGGCGCCCATCTGTCTCCCATCTACGGCTGTTTCTACTCTACCTCCTTTGATCCTGAAGAGAAGCTGGGCGGTGGCGGCAGTGACAGAGGTTCCCTCCCACCCTTTCTCCAGGAAACTGGAAAATGCACCGACCAGGATTCTAGGCCAGTCTGAAAACACTGGCCAGGGCCCCCAGGCTGCACTTTGCGGCATGCCTGCAGGTGCTCCTGGCAATCTGAAATGCAAGGCGGCACACAAGGAAGACAAGAAGGAAGAAGAGATGCTGGGTGTGTCAGAGCAGAAACGGTGAAATCCTGTCCCATAGACCTGCTGTAGAAAGCTGCTTGTGCTTAGTGCTGGAGCCCTGTGCTTTTCAGACAATTCCCAGGGGACTGCACCTGCTCAAGACCTCAGTGGCTGGTTGGAGGGCTCTAGTGGTGGCCTTGAATACGGACAGGCAGAGGAGGCTACACCTGGGAGCCAGTTGGACCAGCTCATTTATTTCCGAGACAGCGAGCGAACATGTGCTTGTCCATAGGCTGGTTCTGGCAAAGGGGAGAGGAAGCTCCTGACCACTGTTTGATTTCCTCTCCTTTCAGTCTCATCTTCACTGGCTCACTTCCCAAACTGCTGCAATGGCTGGAGCCAGGCGCCTAGAACTCCATCTGGGTCTCCCAGGCGGGTGGCAGGGGTCCTAGCACTTGGGTCATCATCTGCTGCCTCCCAGGGAGCTGGATTGGAAGCAGAGGAGCTGGGACTTGAACTAACACTCTGACATGCGATGTGGTGCAATACCGGCCCCACAGGTTCTCATCTCTAGCAGGGTCTACACTGCCCCCTGCCCTGCGCCCCAGCCTGGATGTGTGGGGGACGAGGACACCAGGCTTGGGGGAGCAGAGCAAAGTCGAAGCCAGGTGTCTGTGGGCAGGCTACAGGGAGACAGCAGCGCTGTTGCTGTGAGGGCCGGCAGGAAGTGAAGGCAGCTGTGTGGGCTCAGTCGTGACTGGCTGGGCTCCCGCGTTCCCGAGGCCTTTTGTGGGAAGGGGTGAAGGAGCCCCTAATGCCTGTTGGTGGCAATGAGCCCAGCCCCACCTCATCTCTTCCCCAAGCACCCACCGCAGCCAGCTCTCCTCTCCAAGCTCGGCCTTCACTTTCCCGTGTGCTCAGAACGCCCCGTGAATACATCCATGGCTGCACTCACCACTCGCTCAAAGTGATCTGTCTACACCACCACTTCCGTGTGAGCTTCTGTGCTCCCAGTGGGGCTCACTCGCCCAGGAGCTGAGCCCTGCTCCTGGCTTGGTGACGGCTGAGTAAATGATGAGCCCTCCACTGTGACACAGAGACCTCCTCCAGGTCACACAAACAGCTGTGTGACACCGTGCAGGACAGTATCCTGCAGGACAGTATCCTGCAGGAAGCTGATGGGCAGGGGGAGGCGGGGCATGCAAAGGTGCACACTAAGCAGCTGCATTGTGAGAGTGATTGCTCATCAGTCAAGTTTTTCCTTCTATGGACATGGGCAAGGCACAGAGGAGAAATGGAGGCAGTGGAGGAGACAGGAGGTAGACCCCTGCTCCCTACACCTGCCCAGCGGTGGGGAGAAGTGTCCCGGGGGCCGCATGGCCATGTGGGATTCTCTCCAGGAGCCATGCAGCTCTCGCACTGCCCACTTTCGGAAGGCTCACGAGGATTTTACCGAGACAAAGCCGGTAACGGTCCGCATGTGTCCCAGAGAAGTTCCCGTGTTGGAAACTTAAGCTCCAACTGCCTCTGCTGATAATCTTAGGGGCTGTCAGGGCTGGATGAGGTCGTGGAGGGGGCCCATGGTCAGCCTAGTGGCCTGCTAAGAAGGGTTTGCACACTCGCTCGCTCCGTCTTGACCTGTGAGGCCCTCTGGCAGGTATGACTAGCGAAAAGGCCCTCATTCGGTATAACCTTCAATGCTGGACCCCCCAGCCTCCAGGGAAAACAGGTTTCCTTATCAGCGACCCTGTCTTAGATTTTTTCTTGTGATAACCCAAGGCAGGCCGAGACACAGAGGCGGCTCTGGAATGGGACAGGAACAGGCTGGAAGGTTCTAGAAGGAGCAGACCTGAGGAAGCCTGGGCAATTCTTCCAGTAGGGGCTCAGGAGACAGGCCTAGGCAGACTACAACTTCCTGGAGAGGACCTACCCGTATACCCTCAGGATACTGGGCAAACATGGACCGTGAAGTCCACTCAGACGAGGTCCCAGATAGGAACAAGGAACGGAGTGGAGGCCGTCCCTGGTCCACAGCAGTGAAGACGCGGCTGCCCTGTGTGCCGGGGTCACCCAGCAGAGGAATCCTCCAAGCAGCAAAGCACCCAGCCTGGGGCACGGCGACCTTCAACCGCAGCCAGTGATCCGTGAGAGCAGAGACACAGCTTAAAGATGCAAGTCGTAACTGAAGGAGAAGCAGAGTGGAAAGACTTGAACAGTTCACAGCCTGGCCATGGAGAGTGGAGAAGCACGTTCAGGAGATCAGACTAGCGGTGTGGCCAAGTGACTGCTGGCCGGAAAGGTCAGTACGAATAGAAGTCGGCCAGGTTCTATTCATCAGGGCGAGGCGAGGGAGATCCCAAAGGCATTTCTGAGAACTTCAAGGCTGCCACGCGGGAGGACACAAGTGGTCAGCCCCGGTGGTGTCTGTGTGTTGTTGACTGTGTCGTGTTGACTCCTTACATGCTGGTGTTGGTTTGCTCTCTGTTGCTACAATAGAATGCCCGAGGCTGGGTAAGGTACAGAGAGAGGAGTGGTTTATTTAGCTTGTAGTTTGGAAGGCTGGCCTCTGGCTCAGCCTCACTGCATGTGCCATCACAGTGGTGGTGGTGGGTGTGGCTGTGGAGATCCCAGGGTGACAGGAAGCCAACCTGCTCTGTGGGACCTACTGTGGTCCTGTGACAACTATACTGATCCCTTCCGATGGCTGCACCCTCTGTGACCTAACCATCTTCCCCTAGGCCCCGCCTCTTGTAGGTTCTACCCCCTCAACGTCACCACCCTGGGAATCAGGCTTCCTGCACGTGAACCTTGGGAACGCACTCAAGCCACATGCAAACAGCACTCGCCCATGCTTGAATCTCCATTTTTTTTTTTTCCAAAGATTTATTTTAGTTATTTGAAAGGCAGAGTTAGAGGGAGAACGAGAGACAGAGACCCTCCATCCACTGGTTCACTCCTCAAATGGCCACAATGGCTAGGGCTGGGCCAGGTCAAAGCCAGGAGCCTAGAACCTCATCTGGGTCTCCCATGTGGGTGGCAGGGTCCCAAGCACTTGGGCCATCTTCTATGGCTTTCCCAGGGGCATTAGCAGGGAGCTGGATGAGAAGTGGAGCAGCTGGGACTGGAACTGGTGCCCTTATGGGATGTCGGCACTGCAAATGGTGGCTTTACCTGCCGTACCACAGCGCTGGCCCCTGAATCTTCATTTTTTATGATAGGCTCAGTATCGTGTTTGCTGTTTCCCTCTGGGAAGAGGAAAAATCTACCTGCTACTTGAATTTTCAGACATTTTTAGTTTAAGATATACAGTTTGCTATGTTGAGAGTCAAGAAGCCAACTAGCCTGAAATACTCCAGATTTTATTTCTATGAGAAGTCTTTCATGCTAAGTTGCTTTGCTCAGGAGATGTCACCTTTCTCTACTCTGAAACACTTAGCTTCTAGAAATGGAAGCTTCAGGGAATTAGTCTCAAGCCAACAGGTAGGCTGCAGTCTGTATCATCCTACAGCCGTGTAATCTCTCGTCATGAGTCCCCAACCTCCACTTCGGGGCCCTAGGGACAAGGGACTCACAGCGACGGGGCAGCCAGGGCACTGGTGGCAGGCTTCACTCATTGCCGGTCAATTCTCCGCGGGAAGACCCGAGGCCTCAGAAGGCCTCTGGAATCCCTGGGGCCTTGGACAATTCTGGCATGGTTGGAATAAAATTCTGCTGCTTGATGGAATGAATGAGTGGACTGATATTGGAAAATAAAGAGATGAGGAAGGCCTGTTGCAGCATCAAGCAGGTCAGTGTGACTTGATCTTCTGACAATAGTGAGGGGAAGTGCCTCATACTGATGGCATCGTGCCGATAATGTGACTGCCTCCATCCCCACAGAGAACTGGGGCCAGGTCAGCGGGGTGTGCAGTCCTTTGCTGCTCTTCCTAGAAATGCCACCAATCGGAGTGAACCAGCAGATGGAAGACCTTTCTCTGTCTCTCCCCCTCTCACAGTCTGCAACTGTACCTCTCAAATAAATAATAAATATATATCCCTAAGTGCCCATAAACAACCATGAAGGGGTAGTTCCGAAGCTGCATAATTAAGATCTCCATTAGTGAGACTGGGAGAACAGAATACAGCAGGAGTTCCGCCCACGCCATTAGGCTCAACTCCCGGCCCCTGCTCCGGACTCCAGCTTCCCGCCCACGCAGATCCTGGGAGGCTGCGGGGAGGCCTCCAGCAGCTGGGTCCCTGACATCTAGATGGAGACTGGACTGAGTTTCTGATTCCTGGCTTTGGTGTCTGGTCAGCCCTGGCCGTTGTAGGTGTCTGGGGGAGTGAACCAGCAGACATGAACTCTCTCTCAAGTACATAAAAACAACAACAACAACAACAGACCCCAAGGTAATGAAATATTTAGGGCTCAGGCCCAGGTTGATAAAGACTTTTCAGGGCCGGCTCTGTGGCACAGTAGATTAATCCTCCGCCTGCAGCACTGGCATCCCATATGTGTGCCGGGTTCTAGTTCCGGCTGCTCCTCTTCCAATCCAGCTCTCTGCTGTGGACTGGGAAAGAAGTAGAGGATGGGCCGGCGCCACAGCTCACTAGGCTAATCCTCCGCCTTGCGGAGCCGGCACACCGGGTTCTAGTCCCGGTTGGGGCGCCAGATTCTGTCCCGGTTGCCCCTCTTCCAGGCCAGCTCTCTGCTGTGGCCCGGGAGTGCAGTGGAGGATGGCCCAAGTGCTTGGGCCCTGCATCCCATGGGAGGCCAGGGTAAGTACCTGGCTCCTGCCATCAGATCAGCGCGGTGCGCCGGCTGCGATGGCCACTGAAGGGTGAACCTTTTTGTCTCTCTCTCTCACTGTCCACTCTGCCTGTCAAAAAAAAAAAAAAAAAAAAAAAAAGAAGAAGTAGAGGATGGCCCAAGTGCTTGGGCCCCTGCACCCGCATGGGAGACTGGGAAGAGGCACCTGGCTCCTGGCTTCGGATTGGTGCAGCTCTGACTGTTGTGGCCATCTGGGGAGTGAACCAATGGAATGAAGATCTTTCTCTCTGTCTCTCTCCCTCACTGTCTGTAACTCTACCTCTCAAATAAATAAAAAAAAAAAGATTTTTCATTTTCTAAATCAGACACAAAAGGGCAAATATTTTGTGACCCCTCAAAGAGTTACCAACTTCCTAGACAGGCAACAAAATGGCGGCTGTGTGGCTCAGCACCCCGTGCCCCCTCGTCCTTCCTCTTACCCCTACCTGTTCCTTGGTTCACCATGTGGTCTGTCCTCTGCAAGTGTTCCACCAGTGCCATCTACTGCCTTCCATTAGAGGCCAGACCCATGGGGCTGCCTGACCTCGGACTTGAACCTCCAGCACCGTGAGCTAAATTAACCTTTCCTCTTTGTAAGTTAGTTGCTTGAGTATTTTATCACAGGAAGGAGAAGCTGACAGATAGACTGGCGATTCAAAGGCCACCGGCGGAGCAACAGGACCATATTCATTGGGCCTTGGCTGGAAACAGAGAATCCTAGACCCCACCCTGGACCCTGGACACCCGGGTTACTTACTCACACCTTAAAGTTTGAGCAGTGCTTCGAGACATGGAACCCACCGAGAACAGTACATGGGCGTGCCGAGAGGACAGTCTGGGAAGTACTCGCTAGTGCAAGGAAAGCAGGGACCCACCAAGGAGGAGCACAGCTTTAAGTGGAGGAAGCCTTGCAGGCACAGAGCCCTTACCCAGCGGAAGGCGGGACACAGTCCCATCCATCGGTAACAGACGCAGCCTTCACCAACGCCTTTGTGGGGGAGGGAGGGAGAAACGTGGCACAGTGGGTCTCATGGGGACCAGCCACCCACGTGGGCTCCTCCGTTCCCACCTTTCCAGCCTGGCTGTCACCAGCTAAATGCCCTGAGCAGTCACTGTCAGTCACATTTCAGGGAAGAGACGCAATCCCCAGCCACCCGGGCCGCGACACACCCCACTGCTTCACTCATGCCAAGCTCCCGGCCCCGGGAGACACTCAGGCGTCGTTATCCTATCACACAACCTGTGTTGGAGCTGTGTTGTGAACTGTGTATGCTGGGCTCGCACCCACCCCTACACGTGATGATCCACTTCCCCAAAAAATAAAAGCCACCATATCCCTTTTAGAGGAGCCGGGGCTGTGGAAATCTTTTCCCATGACCTGCATATTTGCTGTAAAATAAATCACTTTGCGGACAGCTCCTCCTGGTGTTTCTTGATCCAACTCGGCAGGAAGTGGGCCCCCAAATTTAGGCCCTGGTGAGGCCCACCCTGGCCCAGGAGACTCAGCGTGTGTTAGGCGTCAGCCCCTTGATTAAGGCAGATTTCTCCATAGCTACTCAACCCCACTAAGGGAAGAAAATTTCTCCCTATGACTACACTTGTTATTTACAAATAAGGTTCTTTTCAACCAAGTGATTATGGCCATTTGCTTGGAGGAAATTCAGCAAATTCCCCCTAGATTTTAATCAACAGCAATTAACTCCCTAATTGCACTGAAACTCTTGCTCCCCTAAGCTCTCTGATAATCTCTTAGCACACTTCATTTTGGTGCAAAGATGAAAAGCACGATGCACTGAAATGTCTACTCTTGGGGCCGGCGCTGTGGCATAGCATGTAAAGCTGCCACCTTCAGTGCTGGCATCCCATATGGGTGCCGGTTCAAGTCCCAGCTGCTCCACTCCAATCCATCTCTCCACTATGGCCTGGGAAATCAGTGGAAAATGGCCCAAGTCCTTGGGCCCCTGCATCCATGTCAGAGACCCTGAAGACACTCCTGGCTCTTGGCTGTGGACAGGCCCGGCTCCGGCCGTTGCAGCCATCTGGGGAGTGAACCAGCGGAAGGAAGCCCTCTCTTTCTGCCTCTGCCTCTCAAATAAATAAATAAATCTTTAAAAAAAAAAAAAAGTCTACTGTTGGCAGGATGCTGTTTAGGTGTAGTTAGCTTCTCATTATCCTCAAAACATTGAGACAGTTCTACAGAAGGGACAGGCAGATGAGAACTTACCTAACCAGTGCCAAGTAACCTGGCCCAAACCCACAGAAGCCGAGATTCAAAGCCAGGTGTACCTTCCCCCCTCCCCCACTCCCAGAGGGCACGGCTTCCAGGCCGGCTGCATCTGCGCCATCTCTGCCCACTGTCCCGTCTGCCGGAGGCGCAAATGAGACTCGGCCGGCGCTCACAGCTCACTTTAGCACCGCAGGCTTTGGGATTTCCGGATCTTGCGGCTATCAAAACATGCCAAGAAAGCCTTTTGCTTTTGTTTTTGTTCTGAAGCATTTCCTGCTTGTGGAAACCTAGGGAGAACTGGGAACGTGAGGCGCCTGCTTCTGTAGGGGTTTTCCGCACCCCAGGCACCTTTCCTCTGTAAGGAAAGGTCACTGGCAGCCGGCTAACAGACGGCCAGGACTTGGTCTGAACAAGGAAGCCGGCAGGCCCACCTTTGAGGCCCGTTAAGGGGTGTTTTTAGCCACACAGGCTCCTGAGCCACCCACTCTGGCACCTGCTGCTAAGTGAGGCTGCTCCTCCTGCACCTGACAGCCTCATGGCCGGCAGCGGCATTGCCCACAGAGATACAGAGCTTGTGGTGCGGTGCCAAGGGACCCAAGGCCTGCCACCCCTCCCTGCTCAGCCTCTGATGAGGCTGCAGGATGCAGCCACTTGGCCAAAAATAACTGCAACATGCCTGGTGCCAAAGGAACACTGAGGAAGCGACTGTGTGTCTGCCTGCAAGAATCTTCCAACAGTGTGCAAGAGACAAAGACCCAAGCCGGAAAACGACACTAATACTGTCTGTAAAACTATGAGGGGGTCCACAGAAGGGGCCGGCGCTGTGGAGTACTGGGATAAGCCTCTACCTGCGGCACCAGCATTACGTATGGGTGCCAGCTCATGTTCTAGTTGCTCCTCTTCCCATCCAACTCCCTGCTAACAGCTGGGAGAGCAGCAGAAGACGATGGCCCAAGTGCTCAGGTCCCTGCACCCACGTGGGAGACCCGGAAGAATCTCCTGACTCCTGGCTTTGGATCGGTCTAGCTCCGGCCATTGCAGCCATCTGGGGAGTGCACCAGTGGATGGAAGACCTCTCTCTGCCTCTGTAACTCTTTCAAATAAATAAATAAAAAAAAATCTTAAAAAATATTTCACAGAAACATGCAATGAAAAAACAATGCATGAATTTCAAATCTTCTGCACCCAGAATGGGCTTTAAATTCCGTTTCCCACTACCTCTTTGAAATCCCCACGCATGAGCTAAATGAGAGTTCCCGGACTGGTCCCGAAGCCAGGCTGTTCGCGGAGTCCCGGGCCGGCGCCGGGTCCTCACCATGGTTTTGCAGGAGCCTGGTCCAGATGCTTCGACTGGCAGCCGTTCCCTGAGGACTACTCGCACGCACTTCCAGCACTGCTCACTGCCACCGCCCAGGCTGTCTGCCCGCTGCCCCATCCTCCTCCACCGGATTCCCCTCCAGATCTTCCAAACCTCTCTTCCATCTGTCAAGACTCAGCTAAGGAGTCTATCCTCTAGAATACCCTTTCAGAAGTGCACCCCCATGCTTCTCATCACAACACGCAGCACGGCTGCACTACTAAGAGCGCAGACAGCATGGGGTCCAGTTCTGACGCGGCTGGCAGTGTAACCACAGGGTAAATATTTTATTCACACTTTGTTTTTAGAACTCCTTCCGTCCGCTCACTCATTCCCCCAATGATGATGATAGCCAGGGCCAGCCAGGGTCAAAGCCAGGAGCTGGGACTCGTTCAGGGTCTCCCAGTGGGAGCAGCTGAGCCATCACTGCTGCCTCCCAGGATGCAATTTGCAAGAAGCCAGATCAGAAGCCGGCTGGAACTTAAACCCAGGCATGCTGGCTTCCCAGGCAGGTATTAACCTCTGCACCAAATATCAGTCCCAGTGCTGTTTTTTTTTTTTTTTTTTTAGCTATGAAAGACAAGAGTCAGACTGCTTCAATAGATGGTTGTGAAGATGATGCTAATCGGGACAACTGCTGGCGGGCAGCAAGTATGCAGTAAATGCTGCTTACTCACCACACCATGGACTGACGCTCTTCACAGCTCAAGGTCTCTGAGGGGAGGGGCTGTCTGACGAGCTGGGAGAGCTCAGGGCCAGCTGAGAGCAGTGCTCACCAAGCACCGCAGCCCCGCCGGGAAACGTTAAGAACCTTCTCGGAGGTGGCGGACAGAGAGCTTAGGCGATGGAGGCAAAGGCACTTCAGGGGACAGGCGGATGACCCCCACATGAACAGGGAGGGAACTGAGAACATTCTGAGAGGTTCTCTCGAGGGGCTGTAGGAGAGAATGCCTGGAGACAGGGAGCCCGGGCAGAAAAATACAGCAGTTACTCCTTAGGAGCTGTAGTGGCTATTACCCCACATTCTTTCCCTCCATAAGAAAAGGCAATTTTATGATCACAAAGAAGCCACTTTTTTTTTAATTGATAACTGAACTTCTACACACATACAGTATTGCATAAATTATAAGTGGATCACAATTATATTAACAGAACAAACTCATGGCATTTCCATGAGACGACTGCTCTAGGTTTTGGTGCCAGGTACATTTTGTG